ACCTAAAATCTAACTAAAAACCTGAGTTACGGCATAAATTGAATTTTTATTCACTTCCTTTTGTACTTAGTTATAGATTAAAAAAAAACAACAAATAGTTTTGGTCTTAAAATATTCTTTCAAGTCCAGGGATGGTTTAAAAGGTCAACAAAAATAATTGTGATATTTGAGACGGTGCGAAGTTCGCCGGGTCAGCTAGTCATATATATTAAAACAAACACTCACCTTCGTAAAACCCGAACACACAGTCACACAAATCACAATTGAAAAAAATAAAAACAAAAAACTTATTTAAATTAAATTAGAGACAGCAAAAACATTAACATACTTATTAAACGGTTACAGAATAAACGGAAAACTGAAAGCAAAATATGATTGAAGATAGCGTCAAGTTTGCTTGTGATAAGATAGGATGAATCTTGTCATAAACGACATCGATAAGTGTTGATCATGATCGTGACATCTAAAGGGTTACTTCAAGAAGCCAACCTCTTCAGACTTGAAGATATCGTGGCGTTACTCTATTATATAGATACATAGTTTGTAATTGTAGGCACTAGCTTTTCCTACATTGTTTGAAGCCGTGAAATGCTGTGGTACTTTTCGTCGAACCTGTCACACTGAATGCGAATTCGAAGCAGCATACCACATCATCGCCTATAAGCCCACTGCTGGGCAAAGGCCTCTGCTCACACGGAAAAAGTTTGAGCATTAATCACCATGCTAGCTCAACGCGGATTGGTGATTTAAAACTTTATAATTAGCTACAAATTATACGTTCAGGTTTTCTCAAGATGTTATCCTTCACCATACGTCAGATGTGTCTACATAATCATAGAAAGTACATAGAACTCAGAAAAGTCACTTTCTAGGTCATGTTTTGGGTGCCTTAACCTCCGGGGCACCACGACACTTTAACGCGTTAAGCGCCATGGGGGTCACCGGTGACCTCCGTTAGCGGCGGATTTGCGTTCAACATTTTTCCGTCGGGCAGCCAAAGGGCTTAAAGGAGGCAAAACGCAGAGGGGACATCGCATCTCCTTTAGCCTCTGGCAGCTGATGCACCGGACGTCGAATGAAAGTAAAGGAAAGCTTGGAACAGTTGAAGGAAAGGGGTGGTTTCTGAACTAAGAGCCTGACTCTCCCTCTCGTCCCACCTGGAGTTGAATTAGCGATGGGATGATTATCTTCTTTAAAAAGACCGGCTTGAAACAGGTGAAACAACATGGTGGTAAGAGAAATTTACTGATCTCACATCTGACATTTCCTCTGGCCTTTCCTCTAAAAACAATGGATGATGTTCGCAAAAATCGTTACTTCTTCTACTTATTACTTCTTCTGTCATCACTACATACTTAATATTAAACAAAGAATTGTTTTTCTGTCTCTAGGTTTATGTATGCTTAAATCTTTAAAACTATGCAACGGATCTTGATGTGGTGACTAAAGAGAGAGGTTTATATGTATAATAGCCGGAGCGGATCACATTATACCCTTCTTTTTTATGGGGAAAATCATCAAATGACTTCTCCTGCCCAGGGTCGGGCGGGAGGGAGTGTCAGACTCTTACTGACTAAAAACCATTTTGTTTCTTCTCCTGTTCTGGGCCGAGGTTGCAGTGCCTCAATGCGCTTACCCCGCAACCCCAGATCACGACATTATACCCTTTAAGTGATAAAAGTTATTGCATAACTGGATAGAAAATTATATAAAGATACAATTGTATATAAATGATTCCTTTGATTCATTACTCTTAGTGTCTATCCAGTAATGCAATCAGTTTTATCTCTTCCTGTGAATAATGTGTCAAAACGAATGAGTTTAGTTTTTCATTAACTACCAAAAATACTATCCATATAAACAAACAAACTATTTAACTTTTTATTATAAGGTTTAGAAGATACCTACCTACTTAGGTAAGGTTATCGCAGAATCCTAATCATTCAGCCGGCTTAGAATTATCAAAATTTGTTTTAGCCTTCCAACTTCCTTCGCAGTTGGGAATGATAAATGCCACCCACATCTACAGATGTCTGAAATAGACAGATTAAATACCTACCTATGAAAAAAATATGCCAAACATAAGCGAGAATTACATCATATACTTTTATCTATTGAAATATGAGTAGAAGTTAGGTAATAGATGGTATTTTCCACTATTGGAATTTGCGTTTTTTTCAACATCACATCGCATCAGCATACCTGTGCCTGTTGCCTAGGCAAAGGTCTCTCCTCACACGTAGAAGGTTTCGCCATTAATCGCTGTACTTACTTTTTCTTAAAAAGCAAGGAATATTATCACATTACTTCTCTCACCCAGGGGAGGGAATGTCAGATTCTTGCTAAAATCCACCCCGTTCCTTCTTCTGCTCTAGGCCGAGGCCGCGCTTATAGCGCTTGCCCCGCAACACCGGTTGAACATAAGCCCTGTTGGGCCCCTTCGGTAGCGATATACTGACGTTCGGTAGCGATCTACTGACTGTGGAACGCTACGTGCCTTAACATAGTATGAAAAGAAGGGCAGAAGGCCATCTCCGGCCCAATCTGCGATATAATTGCCTACTGTCTTAGGGTTGTCACTTTTAGAAAAAAAATAATTCAGTTAGCCCCGACTGGCGCACTGAGAAACGGGTCGAGATTTTGTTACAGTGTGCGTGCGTCGACGCGTAGATGCTACAAGCCGCGCGCTGTGCGTTTGTATGAAGATAACCTACTTCCCTTCTCTTTATACTATGGCCTTACGCTCGGTTCTCGTCGAGCGGCGAGCTACCCTTGTTAGCCGTCTGTGGTTGGAGAACTTCGCTCGATCGCTACGTTTGCTCAAGATGAATTGGCGATTACAAACTTTCCTCACAATGTTTTCATTCACCGTATGCAAACAGCATATTGCAGATTCCAAATCGTCATGGGATCGTCATCTTTTGGAAGGAAATTAAACTTAGATAATTGAGCTGTTTTGATGTAGGTAAAGTACCTACATCAAAAGAGCTCAATTATCATAAATATAAGCTTAGTAAAAGAGTATTCAATCCTCATAAGATTTCCAACAAAACAAGAACTATCTTGTGAGCAGATAGTTCGTAACAATTGTAGGTAATGGGGCCACTCTAGGAAACCGTGATCAACCATTCCATTTAGATTAGCTAACTGTCCAATTAATTACCACCAATGAGGTTGTAATATCATCCTCCGACCTCTTAGCTGTGTGATCTTTTTGTTTAGCAAGGATTGAGGTCGACATTCACTAGGTAGATAGTTACATACATACCCATTTGGAAGCGGATTAAAACTAAAATAGCTCACCGAATTCCAAGTCAATAGGAAAATTGGGCTATTCTGGAGCCGTTTCACTAGAATTTGAGCGCCCAAGACATGCCTTACAGGCGCCTAATTTAGCTTTGGTAGGTTCTGGTTTTGGATCCTGCGGGAGGACGATACTCGAGCGTTTGCTCGAGTATCATTATTGTGAAGACCACCCAGAAGACATGGTGGAGCCTAAGGTGGCGGTGGTGTACCCTGCTTGAGCTGAGCACCGCCGTGTCCGAAGGAAAGATCGGCGGCTATTTTTTCTGAGAATTATTCCGGTGCGCCCCTTCGCAAGCTAGAGCGCCCTAGGCACTTGACTTATTTGGCTTAAGGATAATGCTGCTCTGGAGATATCTGTGTAAGCAGCAGATAGTAATGACGATAACCAAGCCAGGTATTTTATCGCGACCTCTTTATAAAGCCTAAGTATTATAACACTGCTTTTTAGCATTAGTGCGGATCTTACTATACTTACGGGATATAGGACTATCCCAATAGAATATTAGTAGCAGCCCTCATGAGAAATTGAATAAGTTTAGTGTATCGGTAACTAACCTCGTGGTTCGAATTACTTTTTGCAAGTAAACTTATATATCTACTACGTCATAATAAAATACTCACTAAGATTACGTTCATAGGTAAGCAAAACTCAATTAGGGATTCATTTTCCCGGTTATAGAACAAATAATACTAACAGTAGGTACGGAGACCTAAACTTGACATCTCTTTTGTGCTAGGTTAAAAATATATGCCTACTTCGTGTATATCCACGACCTATCTTACCTAACACTCACCTACTTTAAGTATTATGTAGATACCTGCCATGTACATACTTAGATGCCTAATTTGGAACCTGGGTAGTTTGAGTACATATGTACTCTCACACTTTACCTACCTACCTATTATTATTAGAGTTAACATTATTTTAATTGATGGCAGATGACAAGGAAAGAGATAAAACTAACCTACTAAATAGCAAATGCGGCAAAACAAAATAAATAAATTGCTCAATAGCGTGTTCAAATTCATTATGTGGCCGCGTTGCGAATAGACAAATAGATGACGAATATTTTTTAAATACAAGGCGTGTATTATCTATCATGCATTTGTTACATGCAATCCTCTTTAGAATCATTAAATTATTTTATTAAATACCAAGGTCATTTCCATAAAGACCCATTCTTTATCTTTAAACTATGAGGAAGATCTAAAACAGTTTATGTAAGCCATTCCATGGACAGTAAAAGTAATACATTCGCTTAAAATCATCATGACAATAAAATTCCAAGAAGTAGTTACCTACTTTTTTTATAGCAAGAGAGATTTTTTTCATTACACAGCGTCCTTGCCTTCTGGTGCAACTATTTTATTTTATTCCCTTTTTTATTTCAAAGTTGAACAAAAGTCATCCACTGATTATAATTTGCTCTTCCCGTTGTATATCCTTTGCACTGTTTACCCCATTTTAGTAGCAATACACGCAGACAACTATGATCACTATGATCAGCCTACTGATAGAGCGTTGTAGCGTTTTGCATTTATACATAAAATTATTAAATTACCCTTCAATAAGATAATAAAGAGGTTTGAATTCTTTTTAGAAAAAAATATGAAAATAAAATAAATATTTTTCCAAATTAATAAACTGGCAACTAAACAAATAAGAGCCTAGCAACACTGACACTTAACTGTCAAAAAAAGTGACATGTGGTTTATGGATTTCAGTATGAACGATTTTATTTTTCAAATTATTTGTTTTTAAAACATTCAAATTCCATGTGTAATGTCGTTATTCGATAACGCTGTTTTTAATTCCACCTTGTACGAGGCTCTGTATCTTCAAATCGGGGATACTTTGTCGTTCGCAAGGGATTTCTTTGATTCGTGTTTAACATCGTTACCTATTGAGAGTTTTCCTAAATCAATTGTTAATTTTACTGAATTATCCTTCTACGACGAGCTAGCAGAAGTATTATACTTCAACGAGTTCCAATTTCTGTTGTTAAAGACATTTTTCTTGATTCTTTTGTTTACGTTGTTATTGATTTTCATTTCGTGGCGAGTGTATGGTAAACGCATATCTGAGCGGTTTATGAAGCCGGGTGAGTCATTTATTTCGTTTGTTCTCGATATCTGTATTATTCTGCACTTTTTACACAATGCACGTGAGTTTTGAGATACAATATTACTTTGTTTTCTTGCTTAAACTTTTATAACTAAATATGTATTATTTTCCTATGATCCAACAGTGTTTTGGTCGTTGATCTTATCCAAAGATAAGCCAATTTTGATTACTAAACTAATTAGTAGCTATCCAAGCCTCCTAAAGTTGTTGAAATCCAAATGTCACATTGGACAAGATAATTGTTTTCATAGTGATAAAATGATACTATAAATATCTATTTACTTGATCCCACAGAAAACAAAGATTTTTTTTTTCATACTCAGGTGTAATGTAACCTCTTTAGAGCAATATACTGCAGGTTTCTTGTTTATAAAACTTACATAATCTGGTTTAAAAAGTTTTGTTGTTATTGATTAAAAGTGCAATGCTAAGGGATCCTGGACATTGTTTTTCAGTCTCTTGATGGTAATTTACTTATATAGGGTACTTAATATTTTCCTTTTGTGTATCATACATACCTGCGTTGTTAATGTATCATACAACTGCATATTGCCGATGATGAAATAATTTAATTGTCATTATTGCAATGATTAATTCCAATAAGATGTATGAAATTTTGAAAAAGTATAAACAAATGCATAGCGGATACATATTTAATCAATATAGTAATTTTAAATGTAAATAATACTTTTTAAACTTATCTTAAAGGTGGTAAATATTACAAATCAAACAACACCTAGGATTGGGTATTTTTAAAATATGAACACATTATGTATCCCTGAAAATTATCCTTTGTGTCTACACACATGTGTATTAAATAGCTATTGATTAATAAATAAATTAATTTATTCTTTCTTATTCCACAGCAACATCGGCAACAATAGAACAGCTAAAAGAAAGTGTATCAAAACTAAAACTCCCCAAGGAACATACACCAAGAATCTAATTAACTAAACCTAAGCAAAATGGCAGACAGAATAAAGAAGTTCTTTCAAAAAAAGAAGGTGGATGCCAAATTTAAAATGGCTGGGCCTGGCCATAAACTAAGTGAATCCACTCTAAGTAGCCAGAGTTCCAATACATCGAAAAAGGAGGATACAATAAGAAGGACTGGTTTGTCGGAAGAGAGTAAGGTTGCAGCTGAAGCTGCTTTGTCTAGACTGCAGCAGAAAAGAGAGAATCCATCATTTAATACTTCATTGGCTGCTATACAGGTTAGTTTATTTTATTGGATAACATGGTAAATGAGCACACAATGATATGTGTGCTAGTCCCCAGGTGTTCCTAGGAGTAAGCAATTACTTTACATAACTAACATACTGTGACCAGTTTCTTAATCAGCACAAGTTAGAATGAGGTGGTTTAAGTCATAAAGAGTCTGATTGTGTCATTATAAAAACTTCATACTTAAGCCCAGTTTCTGAAAGACTTGTCAACGCTAAAATTAACTAATCTCCTGTTAAATCTCTTGTCAAGTCATCTGATTGGTTGTTGATAATTCAGTCAACCAATTAGATGACTTGACAAGAGATTAAATTGATTTTTACATTGATCGGCCTTTCGGAAACCGGGTGTAAGTCTCTGAATAATAAGTATTGAAAGATATATTTTTTAATTAAAGACATTTGCTTAGCTGTTACTGTTGTTTGGAAAAATTCACATACACATCACACCCAGACCAAATATTTTAGGCGTCATTACGCGCCGTCTGGCGTTTATCGTTCATTGCTTATAATGTTTGTGTTTCTTCGGGCGATCACGCGTTCTGCGGCAATGTATGGCGAACATAAAAGGCGCCGCGTCTCCGTAACCGAGACCTTAAAGTGCCACAATCCATGACCAACTCAATTTATTTTTCTGACGTCAAGATGTAACATTTTAATTTCTTTTATATTATGATCACAAAAGTAAGTTCTTTATTCAACTATGTAAACACGTACTGCTTGTGATGGTTACCTTCTTGATATAAAAAGGTTTTTTTGAGGGGGAAATCATCGTATTAGTGACAGACTCTTACTGACTAAAAGCCATCCTGTCCCTTCTTCTACTCCGTACCGCGGTAAATTATTGCGCTTACACCCGCAACCCCGGCTGAATAGGCCTTATTAGTGGTATTACGGCTCTCTCGCGTATGGCAAGTATGTTGGAGTCGGCTTGATCCTGTTTGTTAGTGAGTTCTGCTGTCCAGTGTCTGATAAATGGATTAGTCCCTTAGTTATCTCTTACCTATAGACGGGGCCCAATAAGGCCTTGGCCTCGGCCTAAAGCAGGAGAAGGAACGGGGGTTTTAGTCTGTAAAAGTCTTGACACTGCTTCCCGCCCCACCCTAGACTAGAAATCATTAGATGATTATTCCCTCACAAAAGATAGTCGTCTCGTACCAACGGATCTTAGGGTGGTGAAATATGTATTCTATTCACAGGAAATAAAAGAGAAAATATAAAAAATAACAATATACAGGACAAATTAAAGTATAATTTGCAATAGGTGGTCTTTTCGCTAAAGCGTAGGTAAAAATCTGATAGACAAGCTATGGATAAAGTCAGTTGATCATGAAGGGGAAATTATATTGTTATATTTTTTACCTTCCAGGCACAAGTGAAAAAGGAGCTAGAAAATGAGCGAGCCAACCAAACGGCTGAGGCGTCGGCCTCTAAATCAACGCCATCTGAACATCAGAAGCGAGAGATCGAAGATCTGCCCAGGAATTATGCTGCTAGTGGCGTTTATTTCAAGTAAGTATGAAATTTAAGGTATAATAGTACATTATGGTTGAACGTACGTCTTAAGTCCGAGGACGGTAATCATCAATACACACGTGTGTAAAAACTTAAAAAAAAACTTCAAAAGAGTAAAGGAGAAAGGAGATGAGTTGTGAAAAATGTTTCGTAATGGCGGGAAATATTAATCAGTAATTCAACCAATAATTAAAAAACAACTATTACTCACTTGTGAATAATAGTAATGAAAAAGTCACAGTTTGATTATAGTTGTCATTACCATTGGATTAGAGCCACTTTATGAGGAAGGATGTTGAAAAAGTATTAGTTAGTATTGGTTGAGTTACGCTTACACTTGCGCTAAAATATTACACACTTGTCTTGTATATGTAATAGTCAATTGTTTAATCACTACATAGAATAAAACAAAGTCGCTATTCTTATGTATGCTTAAGTCTTAAAAATAAGCAACGGTTTCTTGTGCTGTTCGTTTTAGATATAGTGATTGAAGAGAAAGTTTTATAAATCTAATTGCATCCATTAAACAGTGGAAGTAATTTAGTATCAGCATTACACTCGTGCGAAGCCAGCCGGACGGGTCGTTATTTATGTAAAACTCAAAACTGATAAAACCTACTAATTATGGACTGAAAAAAAAACATGTTCGCTAGTTGGGCGCTAAAAACTGCCAGCATTATCTTATTATTGTATTGAAATGGAATACTTATTTTTGAATTCTTTTTTTTTAAATAGATATTTTATATCTCTAGTTCTAGTGGGGTTTTTTATCTTATTTATACATATTTAATATTCAAATTAAAAAGGAGTTTTTTTTTCTTTTGTTGTGTTTAAGATCTATTTTGTGAGTCTCTTTTGTGTGATTTAACTAGTGGTTGATATTAATGGAAAACCTACAAAGTACATTTTATAGCAGACTTGTGATCCGCACCGGCTTCGCCCGGGTGCAAAGCTGATACTAAATTACTTCACTATTTAAATGATGTTATTGTACATATAAACCACCCTCTACAATCACTCTATAAAAAAACCGCATCGAAATCCGTTGCGTTGTTTTTAAGATTTAAGCCTGAAAAGGGATAGGCATTATAAGGACAGATAGAAAGCGACTTGGTTATATACTATGTAGTGATGTACCTAATACTACGGCGCTGTTACACCATCTGCTGTTAGCTCATACTGGCGCTAGCTGGATATATTATACTCATAACTAAAAGCCTTATTCGATGAATGGAAATATTGTTTTCGATTTATAACCAGCAGTTTCTAAGATTAACGCATTCAACTTTATAATATGTATATTATTATAATATTAATAAGTAGTGTAGATAAATGAATTTTAAAGAATTCTTTCCTGCCTATTATCTGACCATTTGCAAATTGTTTTGTTTTCGATATTCAAATATTTATAGAAAACATTGTGATGAATTGATATTACCTATCTATCATTGAGAGTTTAATCAGATTAGATTATCAAAACAATTTTTCCTGTTTCCTTAAGTTTTAGATAAATCATACGTAGATACAATTGGATACCTAAACATTTCTAATATAAACACATTGGTCGAGTCACAAGTATGACTCCAGGCACGATGCACTAGCGATCGGCCGCGGCTCTGCCCGCGTCGATGTCGATTTTAAATTTTTTCAAGATTTTTTTTAATATTCTCCACATACAAACTTTCTCTGGACTGAACCGCAAGTAATTCAAGACCAAAATCAGCCAAATCGGTAAAGGCATTGCTGATTATAACATTACATCGAAAAGTGGCATTGATTTTTATATAAATATAGATTTGTGAGTCATAATCTCTTTTTGAAGTTTCGTTGGCGTTCACTTCAGAATAAAAACTTTTTCATTTTTTTCCAGATGTCCATTGATTAGCAATGACATTCTCCCCCGAGACGAATGGAAGAAGAACATCAAAACGTTTCTCTACGAGCAGCTGGAGGAAGAGAGAGGCCTCACAGCGTGTCTCATCATACAATCTTGTAATAATAATAGGGAAAAGGTATGTTATGAAAAATTTTGTTTTTTTTTTCAAATGCATAGAAGGTTTGACTAGCCCTTATGGTGACTGAGTTTGCGGGTGCAAGCGTAAATGTACAGTCAGCATCGAAAGACAATGAACACATTCAGATTTTCAAAACCACTATACCCTATATCACCCATAAATCACTCAACAAGATAGGGCGCCAGTCGTAAATAAACATCATTGAAGTTCAAAATTAACTGAACACCATATTTTCACCTGTGATGTGGCTGCATTTACAAACAAACAATTTAACATACACCCAGGACTGTTAAGACAATTTGTTGATCACATAAATATTTTTTCCTTGTGTAACTAAAATATAGAGGTCACCCAGAAGTTAAAGCGCCTCCTCATATGCATGAACAGGTTCGATACCTGGTACGAGGCTCATGTAAATCTTGCCTAGTTATATGTACTTTCTATGACATCACTATAATGTTATAGTGAATGAAAATATAACGAACTTATGATTTGTTTGTATAAGTTCAAAATAGCCAATCCCACTTGAGCCTGATGATTAATGTTCATATCTTCTCCGTGTCAGAAGATAGGTTTGCTCAGAAGTGTGCGCTTATTGCCTGATGGTGGTCAATGAACATAACATAACGTTAACTCAGATAACTTGATACATGGTTATGTATCAATGTTGTTTTGTGAGATAGATGTAATCTTAATTTTATTTCAGGTTGATACATGCGTGGAGACATTATGCAAATACCTAGAGAACATAATAACACATCCTGAGGAGGAAAAGTTTCAGAAAATTAGATTGAGCAACAGGTCAGTGACATTATTTGTATTTATAAGCTTAGTTTCTTTCGCAAGCGCTGTGTTTCGCCGTGTGAGTGAGGTCAGTAGAGGCTCAATTCTCTCAATCTCCCCCGTCCCATATCCCTCAGCCCCTCCTCCGTCGACCATCCCCCGTCTTTCAGCCCCCTCCATTCATCATCCCTCATCCTATGCTCTATCTTTCAGCTCCCCCACCATTCCCCTATGTTTTAGCCCCCTCCTCTATCCACATTCTCCATCTTTAAGCCACTTTTCCATCGTCTATCCCCCATCTCTCAGCGCTCTCTTCTGTCCCCCATACCCCATGATTCAGCCATTCCTCCCTCTCCTATCCCCCATCTTTGAGCCTTCACCTCCATTCCCCATCCGCCATCTCTTAGCCCCCTCCTCTATCCGCCATCCCCAACCTCAACCCACTCCTAAATCCCCCATCTACTATCCCCCTTCCCCCATCCCCATCGCTCATCATCGCTCATCCTCCATACCCTGTAATGGCGTCCACGGGCAGCGATAGCTTACCATCAAGCGGTCCGTATGTTAATTTACCGCCCTTACCTACAAATAAAAATACAAAATCGAAAACAAAATCGTGTTGGTTAAAATAAGAAGTTTTTTCAAATATTTCAGAGCGTTCATGGAGCGAGTCCAACCCATAGAAGGTTCGATGGAGCTGTTACTAGCTGCCGGCTTCGTACAGCAGAAGGTCAGCAACGCAGAAGGCGTCGCAGAAGATTTCCTCGTGTTCCAGAAGGATAACGTGCCGTCTATTGAGAGTTTAGTGGTAATTGCCCCTTTAAACTTGTTTTTGGGTAGCAAGTAGATCACCTCATGTTAAGCAATATGTGCCGTCCATGGACATCCGCAACAAGTCCAGTCCAGTTTAAGTGTGGGAGAGCCATGCTTCGGCACGAATGGGTCGGCTCGACCGGAGTGATACTACGGCCTCACAGAAAACCGGCGTGAAATAACCACAGCGTTGTGTCGTGTGTTGCGCCGTGTGAGTGAGGTAACCGGAGGCCCAACCCTCCCCCTCCCCCAATACCTCCTCAATCCCTAAATCTCCAAATCCCTAATCCCTAAAAGGTCGGCAACGCACTCGTGACTCCTCCGTTGCGCGTGTCCATGGGCGGCGCTGATTGCTTACCATCAGGTAATCCGTCTGCTCGTTTGTCGACCTATTACATAAAAAAAACACCAGAGGAGATCAAGTGCCGAAGTTGCTATCATTTTGGGAAATCCGGAAATTTTGGGATGAGGGTAGGGGAAGGATTGGGCCTCCGATAACCTCACTCACACGGCGAGTTACGGGATAAGCGCAATGTAGCAACGCGGCCTCGGTCTAAAACAGGAGCAGGAACAGGATATTTTTAGTTAGTAATAGTCTAACAGTCTCTCTCTCGCCTTACCCTAGGCGGGAGAAGTCATTTGATGATTTTCCCCCAACAAAAAAATACTCACACGGCAAAACAACGCTGTGGTTGTTTTACGCCAGTTTCATGTGAAACTATAGTATCAAACCGGTCGAGAAGACCCACTTCGTACCGAAGCTTGGCTCTCCCACACATAAAACTTGCCATAATTTTCTAGATCTTTGTAAAACATGTTTATTTCCTTTTTTAGACCCTAATAGACGCGTTAAGAACGGCAGAACCAATTCAGCTAGAACTAGACAGGAATCTACAAGTGTTGCTACCGTCCCAGGCCGCTAATAAGGTGCAGCTACCTCCTTCATTCTACGCGCTTTCTCCTGAGGAAATAAAGAGGGAACAGCAATTGAGGTGAGAATTTAAAAAATAGTCAGTAGTGTCAATGATCATATTTTTCTTACACGAAACTTTTTTTTTAATTACCACTAATAATGTAAGCATTGCTTAATTTTCAGTCACACTTCATTTTGATATTATTTCTCGCAAATTATAAGGTAATAAGTACGCAAAAAAGTGACATTGACGTCAACGCGCACACGTGTCTCTTCACATTCAAAAGTGTCTGTACACTTTGAAACATTAAAATAAAATTAGAACCTTCACAAAAAACAAATCAAATTCAGCACTTTTTCCGAAAATTTAAAAAAGATGTGTTTGTATGATTTCTTTTTTACGTCATATAGCATACTTATTTCTCTTGAGTTATCTTAAAAAATACGGATTTTGAGTAGGTATATAGTAAAATTAATTGATGAACGTGTGATTATTTTTGAATAGTTCAAAAGTGCCTGTAAGGGTCTTATTGGAATTAATGATTTACGGCTTTTGAAAAATATTTTTTTGTTTTTTATTACTTGAAGTAAAATCTTTTTGACTTTGGAAACAGCCCAATTGTCATGCATTTCTTGATTATTTCTTTCTTCTTATTACCAACAGACAAGAAGCTATAGAAAGGAGTCAAATGCTAAGAACGAAAGCTATGCGAGAAAAGGACGAAATTAGGGAAATGCGTAAATACAAGTTTGCTATCATCAGGATACGCTTCCCAGATGGAATACTATTACAGGTAATTAAAACTCTTTGCTTGTACCTTTTTTGTTTTAAAAAGAAAAAGGTTGAATACTGGTTCCCTTTGCTTTGTTTTAAACTGAACTGTCATCTGTCAACAATGACGTGTTTTTTACAAACGGATCATTATGGCCAACGTGATGAGATTTTTTCATGCAAAATTTTACAGTAAAGTCTGTTTTTAAAGGTAGGGTGACAAACAAGTGTACGGGTTACCTGATGGTAAGCAATTAGCGCTGCCCATGGACACCCGCAACAACAGTTACGAGTGCGTTGCCGACCTTTGGGAATTAGGGATGTGGATATTTTAGGATTAGGGAAGGGGAAATATTGGGCCTCTGGTAACAACGCAGTGGTTGTTTCACGCCGGTATTCTGTGAGGCCGTGGTATCACTCCGGTCGAGCCGACCCATTATTGCCGAAGCTTCGCTCGCCCACACTTAACTTTTACTAAGAACAAGTCTCATTACTATCCTAAATTATCTTTTTCAGGGAACATTTTCGGTTTACGAGCGCTATAATGACATACACGAATTTGTACGAGAAAACCTCGAACATGATCTACCGTTCGTGCTGAGCATGCCAACAGGTCATAAGGTCACGTTAGAGGAAGATGCGAATAAGACCCTTATTGACCTACGATTAGTACCGGCGACTATACTCACATTCGCTTGGCACTCATCTGTCGCCGAACAAATTCAAAATAGCCCGAATAAAGACGTGTTTTTGAAGCCCGAAGTCATGGTTTTGGTGCAAGAAGTGTAAGGTATATTTTGTTGATGCGTTGCGTTTGTGGCTAGTGCAAAATGGGCCTTATGTTTCAGAAGTTGTGGTGTAGACTTGAGTGTTAATTTGCTTTGTAATATTCTACTTTGATAGTCTGTATATCAAAGAGTTTGAGACAAAAATTCGGCCTTACTTTTAGTTGAGTAATAAGTTCAAAATATTTTTATGCATAGAAATACATATATATGTAGTGAAAAGATATCATTTCTATTAATGCCCTTAAATTCCTGCCTGTAATATACCCACTGATAAGAGAAAGCTTTTTCTGACATAGGGAATTGAAAATTTCAAACTTTCATTTTTATTAGAAATTTGAAGTCCCAGGCATAAGTATGTTTTTAAAATGTTTTTCTTCGCAAAAAAAACCGTATGTAAATAATCTTAAAAAGTGTGTATGACTCTGAAAGAGACAAATTGGTGCTTTTCAAACCATAACATCTGAGCACTACGATGTAAAGACCTTTTTTGGGGTAGGAAAACCAACAAATGACGCCCTGGGTGAGCGAGAGGGAGTGTCAGACTTAACTGACTAAACACTACCCCGTTCCTTCTCTTGCTTCGGGTTAGAGCGGTACATGAACAACCAGATAGTCACGACATTAACCCGTTGAATGTCGGTTTATAAGACACAATAGAAAATACATTGTGTCTCGCGTGGATCCACGTTTAAGACATACGAAAGGTTAATACGACCCTAAAATGTTCTTATACCAAATAAGACAATGTAATGATCACACTTTTTTATTTAAACTATGGCCCATTTTGTACTAAGTCCTTATTTATTTATTTAACTAATTTGTAACTTTAGATACATGTAGACTACCCATTTCAGTTGGAATGTTGGTCGTTTCATTGGATATTTTCTTAGTGAAAAATAGAGTCTTACCCCCGGTTTCCGAAAGGCCGATCAATGTTAAAATCAATTTAATCTCTTGTCAAGTCATCTGATTGGTTGAGTGAATTATCAACAACCAATCAGATGACTTGACAAGAGATTTAACAGGAGATTAGTTAATTTTAGCTTTGACAAGCCTTTCAGAAACCGGGTGTTACTTTTCATTATGTCCATAAAAGTTATCATTATTTAATTTATTTGCTTGTTTTGATAATGTACTTAGTTTTCGTATTTATCACACAAATCATATTAATTAACGTTTAAATAATGACGCAACCTTATTTCCAACAAACCAAACTAATATTATAAATGCGAAAGTAACTCTGTCTGTCTGTCTTTTCTTCACGCCTAAACTACTGAACCTATTTGTGTGAGATTTGGTACAGACATTGTTGACTCGAGACACGACATAGGATAAAAAATCTGCAGGAAGTCACTATTCCACGCGAACAAAGTCGCGGGTAAAAGCTTGTACTATATAATTTTCATTTTTGCAAAAAAAATTCAGATATTGGCTTTTGTTACTTGAAGAGGACATCCTTTTTTATTATTCTTTTTTTGTTTATTATGGCTTCAAGTCGAACTATTGTTATTTTTTATTGGTTTTTTAAGAACTACGATAGTTAGTTAGACAAGACTATCAAGTGTTAGATCTCAGATTGGATTCAAAATTTATAGAACGAAATATTTTTAAATTAAGGCGTCCGTATTGCTCCCGCAATTATTGCTTTCTACTTAGTGACAAAAAAAAAACAGCGACGGCCTTCATCTACCTAAGTCAGTTAAACTAATCCTATAAATTTATTTATCTATTAAAAGAATCGTTTTTGAATTTTACCCCTTATATTAAACACATTAAAGGATAATTTAGCTTATCCATTGAGGAATTAATTACATAATAATTATTAGTTATTTTACCTTCTTAAATAACTTTGTATATAGAATTAGAGCTTGCATAAAAGAAGCTTAAAACTATATGTTGAATATGTGATATATAAACGAACTGAGCGCGTGTTATGTATGTATGTATTATAAACATAATTATATAATAAAATAAATTATAAATACACTAAATAATTTAGATTTTCACCTCTTTAAACTATGAAATGCAAAAATTTTGACTCTTACCCACAATACCAAGTATTTATAGTCTAAACTCGCTTAACATTATTTACAAATGACTTAAAAAACTGCACAAAATCTGTAGGTGTCAAGCAATGTTGAGGCATATAACAACTGTATTGTAGACTAAAATGGCTTGGTAACAGTTTTTGAATACCATATTCATCTTTCTAGATCCTTCCATTACGCATGTATTTAGTGTTAGAGATGTATTTTTGATATAATAACCTTTATATATATATTTGTTGTGTATGTGTCACTGAACTCCTGAACCGCTGGATAGATTTTGACGATTATGAAGAGTGGTGATAGCTAACAGGGTTCTGTTGTATTCTTTAAAGTTTTTTTTTACCATCAAACAGGTTAAAGATTTTTAATAATTACCCTTCTTTTATATATATATGTATATATCTCTTAAGTTGCAAAAAATCTCAACTGAGCAACAGGTTGCAACATTCAAACGATGATTTTTAGATACATTTGTACAATCTAAAGATATGATATAACTTATATCGTATTTGATATAACACATACTCAATAAGAACCATTATTTGAACGTAGCCTTCCCAATAAAAAAAAACGATTATTTAGTAAAAAAAAAATCATCACATTATCACATTGAGTCCAAAATTTTTATTCAAAAATAATTTCTATTTTGTTTTTTCTCCTTCATAACGTAGGTAGGGGAGTTTTGATTTTAAAACTTAATTCCCTGACCTGCAACAGGACGAGGTCGATGGTAACGGTGTTCCGTTACCTCAGTGTAAACGCCGGGCTCTTAAGAAGCTGTACGGTGCGTCACATCAAGCTACTAGCCCTAGAAGCACTCCTCGTATGCATAAGAGAAGTGTTCTATATAAAATGTTAATGTAATTAAACCTTTATGTGTATATTGAGGATTCTATCACGAAATAAAAAAAATAAGTTGTATTTTTTATTGTTTTATTTATAATATAAATTATAAGTTTGATAGAGCACGAATGGGTCGGCTCGACCGGAGTGATACCACGGCCTCACAGAAAACCGGCGTGAAACAACCTCAGCGTTGTGTTTCGCCGTGTGAGTGAGGTAACCGGAGACCCAATCCTTCCCCTCCCTCAATCTTTCCTCATTCCCTAAATCTCCAAATCTCTAAAAAGTCGGCAACGGACTCGTAACTCCTCCGTTGCGGTGTCCATGGGCGGCGCTGATTGCTTACCATCAGGTAATCCGTCTGCTCGTTTGCCGACCTATTACATTAAAAAAATGATGGCTAAATATCTTCAGTCTTGGAATACCTAACCCTAAAAAGGCCGACAACGCTCTGATAACTCTAATTTCTCGCTCGTCCGCTCGTTTGTCGCTTTATCAATCAAGAAACTTACTTCTTCGGTACTCGGTACACATAGGTAATTGTACACTAAAAATGGTAATCTATATATATATAAGAAAGTCGTGTTAGTTACAGCACTTATAACTCAAGAACGGCTGAACCGATTTAGCTAAAAATTGGCAGGGAGGTAGTTTAGAGCCAGGAGAAGGACATAGGATAGGATAGAGTAGGTAGAGTAGGTCAGGTAGAGTAGGGTAGGTAGAGTAGGGTATGTAGAGTAGGCAGTCAAATGACGGGAGCGACGCCGCGGGTAAGAGCTAGTAATAATAATAACTAAAATATGCATTTGTTTCCACTGTGGTAAAACCAGTAGATATACAAATCAGTTCAGTCATATTCGACTAGATAAAACATCCAGTTTTCCTGCTTGATAAGAGCTTTTGCTGAGCCGAATATTGTAGTTTGTCATTAGCATTATAGGTACCTATTTATACACCCTTACTGTGCTATAAAATACGCAATAGGAAAATACTTGTAATACCTAAACAGAGGTAAATAGAAAAAAAAACAATGTTTGTTTATCATTTTATTTACAGTTACAATTACAAATTGTGGCCACAGAATTATATTGTATTCCTACTACTGCATTGAATGAGAAAATATTTAATTTATTATTTCACATGCGGCATGAGCGCTGTAGTCGCCAGAGCCTGCATTTCAAGTAGGCCCGCATACTAATAGATACCATTTAAAAATGTAAGGTTTAAAGGGCTTTATTCTCATAATAATGTAACAATAACAGTCCACTTAAATAAAATGCATAAAATAAGTCTCTTAATTCCTAATGTTGTCTTTAATGACGTCACTTTTTTGTACACAATGTAGTCTCTAGTTTATTTATTTATTTATTTATTTATTTATTTATTTAAACTTTATGCAACAAAACATTACATAGGCGGACTTAATGCCGTAGGCATTCTCACCAGTCAACCTTAGGGTGATGCAGAGAGAGTATGGTAGGTGCAACAAGAAGAGAACTTTGAGACGATAAAAAGATTTAAAAATAATAAGAACACTAAAATAAATATATATATATGTAGAATATTATAATAATACTGGTATATGGTGGAAGATAAATAAAAAAAAATACTCAATACATACTCTATATACTTACATAACTAGTATACATATATATATATATATATATTTATATATATATGAATAATATTATACACAGTGAATACATAACATAAGAGTTTTATGATGATGGTTCTAACAACAGTCCATTCAAAATGTGCTTACGCAATTCAGCCTTAAACGATTGCTTACTGGTCGCCTTCCTGATTTCCAAGGGCAACCCATTCCACAGGAGAATGGATTGAATGTAAAAGGATGAGTGGATAGTATCAGAGCTATGAGAGGGACAATGAAGAAGTAGGTTATGAGAAGAGCGAAGATTTTTGGAATGACCAGAGTAGCGGTAACAAAAGTAGGAGGTTAAATAAGAAGGCGAAGTTGGAGAGTTGAGAAGTGAAAAAAGAGTTGTCAAAGCGCGAAATGCTCTTCTTTGGCGAATTGGCATCCATTTCAACTCGGACCTGTACTCAGAAACATGATCGTACTTCCTCAGGTTAAAGACGAACCTTATGCAGTTATTGATGAGACGATCAAGTTTATCGAGCAAATCCGAGCCGAGATCATAGTAACACACGTCACCATAGTCGATTATAGGAAAGATTAAAGACTGCACAAGCAT